TAGAAAAATATCAGCAGCAGGAGCCCTGGCCAGAACTACCCCCACAAAGTACAAACAAAGCTACTCCTATCTTCTGACTGTCTGCTGGAGAACTTACTAACCAGCACCTTAAGAACAAAATGTTCTTTCATCATTGATTTTTATTCCCACAAAGTCCTTCCTCCTCTTTTTCCAGAACTGGGAAAAGCATGGGTTGAGTTTTGCTTGCTTCTTTGATCTTTATCCTCCCATCCCAGGCCTTCCTTGGGAATGAAAGTTCAGGGGTATTTCTCCAAAGCAGAATGCTGACCCCTCATACTAGTCAGAATGTGGGGTCTAAAGCAGGCCATGCCAGGTCAGCATTTGAAGTGACTACAGTTGTCAGGGTTTGTTGGTGAGAGGCCTGGATGGCCTCTCCCTGGATGGCAATTCCGAATCCAAAGCTGGTCTGTACTTGACATTCAGAAATCTCTTAACATAGAGTTCATTTAGCCAGTTCTTGAGGGTATTTCTGACCTCAACCTATAGAGAATCACAAAGTGGTGAATCCTGCATTCTGCTGTCTCTCACTCTCTCACTGCATAAAAGGAAACAAACGTTCTGAGAAGCACCGTATTTGTAGGCAGAGACAAAATCTAAACCCAGAACTTAAAATTCCATGTTGAGTGCCGTTATCATAGCATCACAATATGTCTCAGGGATTAGCTGTCCCAAACCTATATTATTAAGCTACAAACATGCAGGCACGAGAGAACAATGAGAATTGTCTTTCCAAAACGAATGGACTTTGCCTGATTTGTTCACTGCTGATAATCTCCAGTGCCTAGACCAATCACTGACAGGTTGCATTCACTCAATTATATTTAGTTAATATAGAGTTGGACCCATGGACAACCTTTTCAAGACTTTCAGGCCTCTGTTCACCTCTACAGCCTAATAGGGGTATAGGAAGGGCAGAAATGAGAGGAAACATTTGCTCCCAGGCCTCCTATCTTTTTTGATATATCCTAATCTTGGATTGGCTGTAAGGTGAAGGGTAAAGGAAGAGGCGTAAGAAGGCATAATAAGGATAAAACATAGTCAACATACATTAAGTCAGTCTGTACTATCCCGTCATCATGGACTAGCACCTTCCTGTGCCCTTCCCAGCCACTGCTGGCATCTAAGTTCAGGCCTTAAAGAATCCAAGGTTCTTATTCTATCTTTCCATTAAAAAAAAAAACTATTCTATCTTTCCACTAACAAAAATATGGGGGAAAGTTACTAACTTACTGCATTAGTCCGTTTTTATGCTGCTGATAAAGACAAACCTGAGACTGGGAAGAAGAGGATGTTTAATTTGATTTACAGTTCCACATGGCTGGGAGGTCTCACAATCATGGCAGAGGACAAAAGGCACTTCTTACATGGTGGCAGCAAGAAAGAATGAGGAAGAAGCAAAGGCGGAAATCCATAATAAACTCATCAGATCTTGTGAGACTTAGTATCACGAGAATAGCACGGGAAAGACTGGCCCTTATGATTCAATTACCTCCCCCTAAGTCCCTCCCACAACACGTGGGGATTCTGGGAGATATAATTCAGTTGAGATTTGAATAGGGACACAGCCAAATCATTATCATTCCACCCCTGGCCCTTCCAAATCTCAGGTCCTCACATTTCAAAACCAATCATGCCCTCCCAATGATCCCCCAAAGTCTTAACTCATTTCAGAATTAACCCAAAAGTCCATAGTCCAGTCTCTTCTGAGACAAGGCAAGTCCCTTCCACCTACGAGTCTGTAAAATAAAAAACAAGCCAGTTACTTCCTAGATACAATGGAGGTACAGGTATTAGGCAAATACAGCCATTCCAAAGGGGAGAAATTGGACAAAACAAAGGGGTTGCAGGGCCCAGGCAAGTCCCAAAATCCAGCAAGACAGTCAAATTTTTGAGGTTTTTTTTTTTTTTTTTTTTTTTTTTGAGACAGAGTCTCACTTTGTTGCCCAGGCTGGAGTGCAGTGGCACCATCTCGGCTCACTGCAAGCTCCGCCTCCTGGGTTCACGCCATTCTCCTGCCTCAGCCTCCAAGTAGCTGGGACTACAGACACGCACCACCACGCCCGGCTAATTTTTTGTATTTTTAGTAGAGACGGGATTTCACCATGTTAGCCAGGATGGTCTCGATCTCCTGACCTCGTGATCCACCCGCCTTGGCCCCCCAAAGTGCTGGGATTACAGGCGTAAGCCACCGCGCCCGGCAAGGCAGTCAAATTTTTAAAGCTCCAAAATGATCTCCTTTGACTCCAGGTCTCATATCCAGGTCACACTGATGCAAGAGGTAGGTTCCCATGGTCTTGGGCAGCGCTGCCCCTGTGGTTTTGCAGGGTACAGCTTCCCTCCCAGCTGCCTTTCCAACAGTCCTCCAAAGTCTTAACTCATTTCAGAATTAACCCAAAAGTACGTAGTCCAAAGTCTCATCTGAGACAAGGCAAGTCTCTTCCACCTATGAGCCTGTTACCCAGTACCAAAGTTGCATCCACATTTTCAAATATCTTTTCAGCAATGCCCCACTCTACTGGTACCAATTTACTGTATTAGTCTGTTTTTATGCTGCTGATAAAGACACACCTGAGACGGGGAAGAAAAGGAGGTTTAGTTTGACTTACAGTTCCACATGGCCGGGGAGGTCTCATAATCATGGTGGAGGGCAAAAGGCACCTCTTACATGGTAGCAGCAAGAGAGAATGAGGAAGAAGCAAAAGCGAAAACCCCTGATAAACCCATCAAATCTCGTGAGACTTATTCACTGTCATGAGAATAGCATGGGAAAGACCAGCCTCCATGATTCAATTACCTCCCTCTGGGTCCCTCCCACAACACGTGGGAATTCTGGGAGATACAACTCGGTGGAGATTTGAATGGGGACACAGCCAAACCATATCACTTAAAAGCATTTACATTTTACGGGGAACAAAAGGCTTAAGCCAAAGCTTCTAAGGGTAAAACTTCTGCCACTGAATATCTGTTTAGGAATAAGATGAGGGTCATTGGCAGTCTCCCCTCCTGGAGGACATAGTGAGTCCTGGGCAGGAGTGAGAAGGTGAGTTTTGGCACGTCCCTGAGGGAAGTCTGGGAAACTGACAAGGAAACTGTAGTGTCTGCAGCTCTTCAAGCAGCAGTTCTCTTTCTTTCAGCATATGCTGGTCCCAGCCAAGTGCCTGTCACCCAGGTAGGGGTGGATGATTGACACTGTCACCCCAGGGATAATTTTAAAAGCATGATAGGGAAAGCTTTTGTGGCCTCACGCATGATCTGGAATGTCAGGATTGCTAGGGCACAGAAATACTCCATGTCTTTCTAGACCTTAAGTTCTCTCTGTGCTTGTACATAAAAACCAAAATCTTAACATTCCAATCAAAAGCACACATTGCTCACAATGAAAAGTATTTGGAAAGAAACAACCTTGCCTGTAATCGGAACTACATCACATAGCATTCAATCAACCTACATATATTATGAGTTGTTTACTAATTCTTAGGCACTGTTTTAGATCCTGAGGACAGAGAGATGAACAGGACAGACATGTTCATAGACTGATGAGAGCGATCTTGCTCTGGAAGTCCATGTAGTATGTAGAACAAGGTACCATTTAATAATCTGTTGCATAAGAAGGCAGATTAATCTTTACTATTTAAAGCCATCTCACTTTATTCTTGCCTTAATGTGACTATTCATTTAATAAACTTATAAGCAGCTATAGGAGCCAGACATAAGGCTTGGCATGAAGGATACAGGACAAATAACCTAATGTTCCTGCTCTCAAGGAGTTCACAGTCTAATGGAAATGACAAGCAGATATATTAGAAATTACAATGCAATATGATCATTTCTTCAAACAGTTTGCTGAAAAAAGCATAATTTCGAGAATTTCTAAATACACCTGAGTGTTTCATGGAAGGCTATGCAGAGCAGAAAGCATCTGATATGGGTCTTGCAGTTAGAGGAAGAGTTAGCCAGCTGGAGTAGTGGAGGACCAATCATTCTGGGCAGAGAACATGTGTGCCAAGTCACAGAGGTGTAAAGGCATGGGCACAGTAAGGGCAGGGTTGATGGAAGAGTCTGAAAGTATACACACATAAAATGGAAACACAGCTCAACAAAGCAGTGCCTTCCCTTACTTTGTGAAATTTACTCTGATGTTTTCTACTTTGTTCTATTCAATTCTGTTCCATTCTGTTGTGCAAATTCAGTGGTCATGTCCTGCTAAATTGATCTCATGAATTATAAACCATAGTTTAAAACAAAACATTGTTAGAATGAAAGGCTAGGGAAAAAATATATGGCTATAGTTGAGATGAGAGATGCTGAGAACCAGAACAACCTCCCCCACAAAAAACACACACAACCTGCAATAAGGATGAGGAAGACGACAGTCATCATTCTTTACCATAATTCTTTGTTTCCCTGTGTATTTTCCCATTAAAATCTGGGGAAGAGACCTTGGTTTTATTTGGTTTTGTTTTAAGTTCACTGTCTCCTAGCACCATGCCTGGACATGGTAAGTGTTCAACGGGTGTTTTGTGAATGAACAAATGAATACATCAATGAAAGCCTTGAGAGTTATGTAGAAGATAAAATCAAGACTACAAGCAAGGAACTGGATACAGGAAATAAGTCAAATATATTATTAAAATAAATCTATGAGACTTATAAGGGTTTTGGAGTACCATTACAAAAAAACAGTAGAGCTAAGTGTGGTAAGAAATTAACATAACTTTTCTGAATTTGCAGTAAACAAAAGAACTATGCAGAAAGTTATTCAAATAAATTTTTTTCTATTGCCATGTATTAAGAAATTAATACAATTATAAATAAATTTTATCATTAATGAAAAGTTCTATAATTCTATCCAAATGCCTAATCTTGAAACACCAAAGTCCTTGACCTTTGCTTTAAAAACAGAAAAGGAGTGTCTTCCGTTCTGGGGAATATTCCATTTGAATACGGTTTTGGCTGTAGGCAACAAATGAAGAGATTACCTAGTCCTCCCGCATGGGCATCAATGAGTGAAGCTGCAACCGCAATCCCAGGGAGAAGGCCAAGGTCTCTTGCTGCCTCTGGTGTGAGCCCATTTCCAAGAGAAGCTCCAGGAGGTAGCACTTGGTTTCCTGGGTAGACATGAGAAAAAACAAACACATCAGTTTGACAAACACAAAAGTAAACAGAGGGTTTTATTTAAGAGAAACTCTTTGCTCCCTCCTCCCTCCTCTGCATTTGCAAAGATAAAAACCATGCAGTCATCAAGAGTCCCTTTGCTCATCCAGTGACTTTGGTGTACGTGCTTGGTACCTATGGGTCATGCTCTGGGGAGCTTTACAAACCAGGAGCTCTAAAGCATCATTCAAACCAAAGATTCTGAAAATGGAAAATTTCAAAAGGAAAATAAACACAGTAGCCTCTTAAATACAAGGTTCAAATGCTCAAACCATTCCAAATGGGCTTCCTAACATGGCAGATCTACTAACCTACTTAAACGCACATGAACCCATGTGTTCATACATGCATACACCCTCTCTAATGAACATATATTCCTAAGTCAAGAAAACTTACTCTTGAGTAGCTTCCCTGACAGAGGATAAGGGGAAAGAGATGTACTTTGTAGCAACAAATAATTTGTTAAAAATTTTTTCTCAGTTGGAAAGGACACTCCAGTCTAAACCTTTGCAAATTTTACAAGGCTGCCACTTGCACAACCATATAATACGATTTGAATGATGTTCTTTGGAGTTGTGCAATGCAGTGACCCTGATTTTTCAAGTGACCTTGAATTCTTGCAATCAGTCAGGCCTTCAGTTAAGAATTTATTGATTGTCTTGCTTTGTGTGGGTGCTGTGGGGCTGTAAAAAGCAGTCCTTGCCCCCAACCTAGTTAGGAAGACAAGATAAGGACACAGACAACCACGTAAGACAGAATAGAATGAAATGATCCATCTGCTCCTAGGTGTTAAACAGAGTCTGAGCCCTCTTTCATCCCCCAAGGAATTCTATAGTATTTCTGCACCGCAGGGAGGGGCTAGGAGTTGACTCATAGATATACTAAGATCCCTTTGAGCCCCAAGATAGAATCTGGGTGCATGATCAGCAATTTTTGAGTGCTAAGATGCCACTTGTTAATTGTTCCATGGAGCTCAAGGGCTGGACAGAGGTGCTCCAGGACCTCTGGGGATAGAGGTGAGGGTGGAGGTTGGGAGAGGGGTCAGAGAGTGAACAGCTTAACCACCCTCCTCTAAATGGAACCAAAGCACCTCCACGACACCATTTTTATCCATTTTAAGTAGAGAGTTTCTATCTGTAATTAAATATGAAAACAAGTTTAGCTAAGAAAAGGAAGACTGAAACCTCTGCAGTGACTTCTAGAAGAACTTTGCTGTTCAATATGGCAGCCACTAAGTCACATGTGGACTGAGCACTTGAAGTATGTCTAGAATAACTCAGGGACTAAATTCTTCATTTTATTTAGTTTTAACTTCAACTTATTCAATTCAGTTACTGAAAAACTTTTAATTATGTTTGGAACAACTTGGGCATGCAAATCTACTTTTTCTATATTAATTTAAGAAATAAAAATCAAGTATTTCCAACAAAAATATAGCATCTGAATTGAGAGGTGTTAAGCGGAAAATACACACCAGATGTCAAAGATTTCATCTGGAAAAATGAATGTAAAATATCTCAATAATTTTTATATCAATTCTATGTTAAAATAATAATTTGAATATATTAAGATATTAAAAATTAGTGTCACTTTCTTTAGCATGGCTACTGAAAAATTTAAAATTACATATGTGGCTCATATTACATTTCTATTGGACACTGATGGTCTGGAGGATAAGGTTAAGATGCTCAAAGGATGGGGCAGAGAACAGGAAAATCTTAGTCTGTTTTGAATGTCAAAGTGGCAGAAACCTGGAAAAGAGCAGTGCCCTTGGCTTTGTATAATACCGTTCTGGACAATATCTAAATTATGTCACTATGTCTAGTATCTAACACAGGAGAGACTGCAGTCTGGTTTGCTGAGAACTTTCATGCTGGGGTCTGCACTAAGGACACAGCGTGTATTTTCTCATTTCATTTTCGTATTACCCCTCCGTGAAGGATAACATAGTACTCATACTACCGCCATTTCACAGACAGATGGGAAAACTGTGGTTTATAGAAGAAAAGTAAACTCGCTAGTGACAGCCTAAGAGCTGAAGACAGGCCATGGGTTCTACTTTGACTGATACCCAAACCTCTGCTTTTATTCATTACATTACCTTTTGGAGTAAATGTTGTTTAAAAGTGCGTTCCAAATGGATGAAGGGATCAAGAGAAGTATTTTTAGAGCAAGCATTATGTATGTTAAAAATAAATAAATAATTAATTAAAAAAAGGAGCACCATTTAGAAAACTTGCCTACTAAATTGAGATTTTTAAAAAACGGTTTTCATAGGAAGGTCAAAATGGAAATTCTGTTCCACCTTCATCCCCAATCTCCACAAACATAAAAGGTGTAATTTTTATAAAAAAGGTTCCAGACTGGATTAGCAGGGTGGGGCACTCTTCCAAGTTTTCTCTATAGTAATTTAGGAAGAAACCTTAGCTGGTAAAGGAGCTTAATTTGATTCTACATCCTCTAGGCTCAGAACATGAGGCTGCAGACCGCTGCGAGGCAGAAAGAGTCCTGAGCGTGCAGGCAGGAGATCTAGGTCTAATCATAGGCTGTGGGACCACAGGGATCTTCATCAGCAGAGGACGCGTCTTTGAGCAAGGACAGGAAAAAAGGGAGAAGGGGCCCCTAAGGGAACTATCAAAAGGGCTAGGTAAATTGGAACAGAAGCTGGGGTGCGGACTGGTAGGGAGTGGGTGTTGAAGGACAGAGGAGGCTGGGGAGGCAGATAGGTGCAGTGGATGCAGGGCCCTGTAATCCATACTTAAGTGTTTGAACTTAATCATGAAGCCCACTGTAAACCACTAAAGGAGCATTAAGCCAGGAGGAAAGCAATTAAACTTGTGTTTTTTTAAAGCACTCTGTGGCAGTATTATAGCAGAGGATAGACTGGGGTTAGGGAAAACAGTGTGAAGCTATTTCAGTAATCAAAGAGAGAGAGAAAATATAAGGATCTTCACTGAGGTATTGAATTGAGCTGTAGAAACAGAGGCAGAAAGAAGAGATTCCATGGAACAAGAAATAACAGGTCACGGTGGTTGCGTGGATATAGGAAGCACGGTAGAGACTGAGATGCCATGGCCCAAACTCCCCTTTAAGGATGGAGTAAAGTCGGCAGACAGCTGCCAGATGTTCTAGGGCCTGCCTCAGTTGCAGAGAGCGGCCTTCCCGAGGTGCTGCACCTCCCAGGACAGCCAGCACCTGGTGACTTGGCAAAGCAGAGGCAGAAAGGCTCCGATGGACACCACTCACTCCAGAGACTCTGCTGGGTTCACCAAGGTGCTGCAAGAATGCACCTTGGTTCAGCTCTTTTCCCTCTACCCAGTCCTTCTCTCTCTTCCTTCTTTCACAGTTGACCATCCCTAATAAACACCTTATCCCCCCAAATCTATCTCAGCCTTTGCTTCTGGAAAACCCAACCTACAGCAGTGAACCAGCCTTCTCTTCAATCCAGTGGTTAGGGATGAAAATAAATATATACAAGGACAAACATCCCTTCTCTCATTTGGAACCACAGCCTTCAGGAATAGGCTATCTGGACTCCAAGCAGGAAGGAGCTTTGTTTATTTACAGTCCAAAATGAAACAGCTTTGCACGAGAGAGGATGATAGAAATAGGTGAGAATCCCTGAGAAATCACCCCTTCAAAATCACACTCTAAGTGTATCAGCCAGAGGTACACTGAGGACACCAGAGCTGTCTGAAGCAAACATTAGTGCCTCCTGACAACTTTTCCCAATCTAATCCTTGTTTGGCTTTTCTTTCACCGTAAAATTAAATTATTCACAGCACTGCTTTTCCCAGAAATCAAGACTTCACTGCCTGAACATTTGCAGTTCTTTCTAGGCTTCACTCAACCATTCATTCATGCATTTTAACAAACATTTCAGTAACAATAGAACTAATGATGGCCTGCATAGATTTCCATCTACTATGTGCTAAGATCTAGGTGCTGAGGTCTCATATTGTGGTTTGGGACAAAGATGATGAAAAACTAAGACTCTTAGGACCATGTAGAAAATGCTAGAAAGGTGAAACGTGTACATGGTGTTCCCAGAGAACTGCGGAGGGTCCAGTTAGGGTGGCTAGTAGAGTGAATACAGTCTTCAAGGTGAAGATGACTTTGAAGCCTGTGTGGAAAGGGAAGTTGGAGATTGGTGGTTTCAGTGCTGGCATGCTCTGGGGAAAGGGATGACAGCAGAGCAAAAAGTGAGTTTACTGTAGGGAGCCCTGAGGGGCATGGTGTGTTTTAGGCATTGAGTATGTAGCAAAAAGGGGTCCAGGGAGGAATAGAGAACTGGAACAGACTGGACGAAAGGTAGCGGAGGGCTTCAGGCGTGGCCAGGCAATAAGGAATTGCCCAAAGGAGCATGACTGTGAGTGCTCAGATTGGGTTTTTAAGAAGATAAACGTGGCCAGACATGGTGGCTCACACTTGTAATCCCCAGCACTTTCAGAGGCTGAAGTGGGCGGATCATGAGGTCAGGAGTTTGAGACCAGCCTGGCCAACATGGTGAAACCCTGGCTCTACTAAAAATAGCTGAGTATGGTGGCAGTTGCCTATAATTCCAGCTACTCAGGAGGCTGAGGCGGGAGAATCGCCTGAACCCAGGAAGGCGGAGGGTGCAATAAGCTGAGACTGCGCCACTGCACTCCAGCCTGGGCAACAAGAGCAAGACTCCATTTCAAAGAAAGAAAGAACTAGATAAACACGCAGTGTAAAGAAAAGCTTGGGGAATAATTTTTATCTTTAAAACAGTCAAACCAAGTGAAAAATGCAGGCTGCAAAACATTATGTAGTATATGACTTCCTTTTGTTAAATTAACTTAAACGTGTCTGTCTGTAATTTCAACCTAAAGGTTTCTTCATACATAGTGACTGTAACCTCACTGGATTTGTAAACACACTGTAGCCTACTCTTGTAACTAGAAGCCGCGTCTCAGCCAATCACAGAAGATAT